CTAAGAAAGAGTGGATGAGTGCTGGCTGGCAATGTTTTAGCTGACTTGGACTATCCAGTCACCTTTTTGTTTGTTACTCAGGATGATGGAGGACTCAGAGATATGGAGGTTTGGGGAAGTTCCCTTCTTTGGACTACAGTGCCCAAACCAAGGGTAGGCAACCTTTTTGAGCTGGGGGCCGGGTTGCTGTCCCTCAGACAATTGGGGAGTGGAAGCAATAAATAAATAAATAAATAAATAAATAATAAAAATAAAAAAATAAAATAAAACAATAAAAAAAAATTCATGCACACTCTCTCAGCCCCAGAAAACCCCTTTGCCAAGAAAATCCCAAGAACAAGTAATAACAATAATCATTACCATCATGGAAATGACTGGAAGGCAGGCCCACAAACAAGCAGGGATGCATGCACACTGTCTCAGCCCCAGACAAGCCATGATGGCAAGAAAACCCCAAGAACAAGTAATAACAATAATCAATATCATCATGGAGGGCGGCGGCTGCAGCGGGGGGCAGCGGCGGCAGGACTGGCCTGGGGCTGATCCAAAGGCCTCGGGGGGGGGCGCATCCGGCCCCCAGGCCGTAGGTTGCCTACCCCTGGCCCAAACTATCACCTAGCTGAGGGCATGGACCCTTTAGAACAAGAGGACAGCATGGACTAAGGGGGGGAGGGGGCTGGCTGGCAATAAATTAGCAAAATTGGACCACCAAGATACCTTTGTGGTTGAGCACTACTTGGATATTATCAATTAGAATTATGGAGCATTAAAATGGAGATTTGGGGAAATTCCCTCCTTTGGACTACAGTGCCCAGACTCCCCCTAGTTGGGAGCATGGAGCCTTCAGAAGAAGAAGACAGGAGATTCCAAGCCCCCTTAGGTTGGCAATGATTTAGCAAAATTGGACCACCAAGACACCTTTCTAGTTGAGTCTCCTTGGGAATTATTAATCAGAATGATAGCATATTCAGAAATATTAAGGAAGCTCTTCCATGAATAATGCTGCCTGCAAGCTATTCTATGCACATTTACTTGGGATTAAGCTACACTGAACACATGGAGGACACTTTGATGTACCTATTGTGCTTGTAAGACTTTCTGTATTAAAGAAAACATTTTTAGGGAAGTCATGTTGGCCAGGCAGCAAAATCCAACAAAATCCACAAAAGGTTGATATTTTTATTGGCCAACCAAAATGCAGAAAACACATCAAGCAAACTTTCCAACTGCATGCTTCGAAAGTGATGCATGTTGGTTGTGGATTTTGGATTTAAGGATTTTTCAGTGATAATGGTTGGGGGGAAGTAATTTGCCTTCCTCTTGCAAGTCCCTGCAAGTAGGCAAAATTAATAACCTTCCTACTAATGTTTAGAGTCCCCCACACACCTTTAAAACAATTGCAGGACAGCTGTATGAGCCTGAGAGTTGTAATCCAAACCCAGTAAATTTTCCAAACTGTAAAAAAACTTTTAAAAAAAACTGGCAAAAGTGGCAGTCACACCTCCTGACAGTGGCTGGAAAGATCCACCAGCCAGCTAAGCTGACACTAGAATGTTTATAGTTTTCTGTGGGTTTTCTGGATGTTTGCTTTTCAAGTAGCTCTGCAGTAATATTATAACAGATGTGGTGGCTTAGCAGTTAACGGCTTAGTGGTTAAGACACTGACTCTGATGACTGCAAGGTTGGCAGTTCATGACCCAAGCACCGTGGGATGGACTGAGCTCCCATCACTAGTCCCAGCTTCTGCCAACCTAGCAGTTTGAAAGCATGTGTTATGATGATTGGTTTCAATAGGTTTTGATATCAAGACCCCTTTTGGGTCCTTGTCATAGCCCTATGCTGAAAGGAGCCTTCATCACCATGACCTCAAAGTGTGAGCCTCATGTAGGCACTCCTAACAGAAGTAAATCT